ACGTTGGATACCCTATATGCATGGGAGAGCACCGCTGTGCTACGCCCAAGCTACGCCTGACGGGCACTTACGACGCGTATGGTATAAGGGCCCTACCATCTGCATGCGCGCAGGGGATCCGAGAAGCTCTGCGCGTGAATGTCCGGGCAGAGCCTAACGACCATGTGGTCAGCGAGGGTGCGCGTGCGTGCGAAGGCAGGCAGGCGAGCAACGGGGAGTCGCACTGCCTGCCCTGTTGATGAGCCGTTGCCCTCCGTCCGCGTGCGCGCGCGCGCGAGGCACGGTCCATAGAAATAAAGGGAGGCGCGAGGCCTGTATTTTCGATGGATGGTAGGGTGAGTAGCGGAGGGACAGGTCGCGCGTGTGGACGACGGGGGTGATGATTTTCAAGTAGCGAGGCAAGCACGCGCGTGTGTGAGTACATGGTGCGGCGGGCGCTACGCCTGGCGAGATGGGTATCTGGCGATAGGCTGACGATAGGCTGGCGCGTAAAGGGAGCTCGTTCGGAGATATCAGAAGGAAGTATGGTAGGCGGATGAGACGGCGGAACAGGCGCGGAGAGGCGCAGAGGGACAAATGGGGGATACTGGGAGAATGAACACCCTGCGAAAGAACAGCGCAGACGTCCACTGGCAGTTACAATTGTAATATGATTGTACTCCGTCGCCCCCGCACGGGGGAGCGCAGCAGACAATGCAGAAGCGGCGCAGAGTACCATAAGCTTTGCCTGCGGCTGTGGACGCTGAGTGGACCGCAGCAGGTGGAAAGATGATGCGCGGCGTGGACCAGGGCCATCGTCAATGTAGAGATATACGTCGGGAAACATCGAGGAAGAGGTAAACCGCAATCGTCCGGCCGGGCCTGCGGAGATGGACTGTGCAGCGGGTGGTGGTTGTGTAGCCAATTTATGGATGGGCTGCTGGAGCTGGAGATTGGGGCGCAGAATTGTGGTGCGGGTGGCGGGAAATAGCGAGCAAGCCCAAGGCACGACGTAAGTCAAACGTAAGTACCGGTGCGGTCTGGCTGTCCACGCTGGTTTCTCGAGTCTCCTTCTTTGTGGCCGGCGAGCCTGCATTGGGATGACGCCGTCGGGGGCAGCAGTCAGCACATTGGCATCCCATGGCGCTGCGACGCCAATTCCGTAAAGCAGTGGAGGAAAGGCGAATTCGATAGGCGGCTCGTGCGCACGAGAGCCGTAGGCTAGACAAAAAATGAGATTCTAGAAGGTCTGCCCATCTCAGAAGGAAACATGAGTAACTTTCGTACCGGAAGAATGTAGCGGAGTCGCCCAGCTCGTCGATGTCGACGGCAAGTTCACTCAGCGCCCCAATAGTACCGCATGCTGGGAGTATTTTGTGCACGTCGACGTCAACAGAGCGAGGAACGTGAGAGGAGTTCCGTGAAGACGGACGACAAGGCCTGGCTTGACGAGGAGAGAAAGCATGTGCATGGAGAGCGCCATCGTTGGGCTCGCCTCTGGATTGGAAAGTTCCCACGCTCAAACAAACGCACGAAATGCGGAGCCGCCTGTGTTTAACTTGACTCTCTCCATCATGTGCGGCCGCTTTTCTCTCCGCCTTGACGTATGTGTATGATATTTATCTAGATGTCGTCCTCTCAAACCATCACCAGCGCGACGATATCCAACAGCTTGAAGGCTACGACCTCGCCGTCGAGGAATGGGAAGACGAGGTCGAGTTCACTCCGAGATATAATGTCGCACCGCGCACTCAGGCGCCTGTCATTCGTCATCCCAATTCTGCAGCTGATTCTGGAAGAAACGCCGACGCTCTTGTTATGCAAACCATGAAGTGGGGTCTCGTTCCGCACTGGAGCAAGTTCGAAGACAAGTCGCTGAACACCATCAATGCCCGGTCTGAGAACCTTGTGGACGGCGGGGGTGTATGGGCCAGCATCAAAGGCAAGAATCGATGCGCCGTTCCCTGTCAAGGGTATGCACTCAGTGACTAGGCTGTCTTCTTGATTTCATGAACGTCACTGCAGCTATTACGAATGGCTTACTAAAGGGAAAGACAAACTGCCTCACTTCACCAAACGCAAGGACAATAGACTCCTTTTGCTCGCTGGCCTTTACGACTCTGTCGTCTTGGACGGTGAATAGCCTTCGTATGCTATATTCTATGGGCTCCTAAACTTTCGGACCTACTTAATCAGGCAAAACGCTCTGGACATTCACAATAGTCACTACCGACGCGAACAAAGAGTTCTCTTGGCTGCATGACCGTCAACCTGTGATCCTTTCTAACCTCAACGCGGTCATTCGATGGCTCGACACGTCTTCGCAGATGTGGAATCCCGAGCTGACAAAAATGGTCCAACCGTATAGCGACGCGGCTGCACCTTTGGAGTGGTGAGCTACATCTTCCATCCGCTTGAGCGCTCGTAAAATAATGACAGCTAACTTGTAGCTACGCCGTCCCAAAGGAAGTCGGAAAGGTGGGGACGGAGTCTCCTAGCTTCATCCAGCCCATCTCCACTCGACGTGACGGTATCAAGGCTATGTTTTCGAAGCAGGAACAAGCCAGTTCGCCAGCGAAACCTCACGATAAAGGTCAAAAGCGCAAATTAAAGTCGACATTATCTTCGTCGGGGAGGACACGCGAAGAATTAAAGGCGGAGACGGATGAGGCGGGAACAAGCCGTCGGCTCAAACGCCCGAAACTTGGCGGCACTGACAACGTGAGTTGCTCTCAATGATCTACCCTTTCACTTTGTGCAGATATCGTTATATTGACGCATTGACCGGTAATTCAATATGATAGGACGGTATCCCAAATAATTTGTTTTCACCTAGCGAATCTCCTACAAGAGGTCATGAGAAAAAATACAGATCCTCTCCGCCGAGGGTTGATAAACCATCTGAGACGCGGTCCGAGTCCGTGAAGGTTCGCTGTTATCTTGGCAGTTCTAATCATAAATCAGTGACACCGATCTTTCCAGGCGGGCTCCAAAAGGAAGGGCGCGCTTGATTCGTTTTTTCTTTCCTGAAAAGATACTCACAACAAAGAAAGTTCGACAAACTGTATACCGCATAGCTAAGAGCGCCAAAGTGGTTCCAGTCTCTCGAATAATTTGTTTTCCACCGCCTCCTCTGCTGGTCAAATGCTCCTCGTTCTTATGATCCATTCTCTTTCAATTCCTCATATTCATTGCAACTACATCCATGCATCACTGGATCAGGCGGAGGTTGATGTTGACCGGTCGACCTTGAGCTGTCGATGCGGACCGAGTTGGGGTTCCTTTGCGTTCGTCACAACCATGGGATGCGGCGCTCCGCTGCTCTACGCCCCGGGTCAGAATGATCGGGCTGTACATGTCAAGCATTGCACTTACGACGGGCATCTTGCTCGAAGTGCATCCAATTAGTAACTGCTATGATACCATCGTTAGCTCTTGGCTCTCTATATTTTCCGGAAAGACGATAAAGCTGCAGTAGAACTCAAACGTGGAACTAACGAGTGAGTATCTATAGGCTACCTACCACCTGACGTGATCGGCCCTATGGAGTGTGACACAGGTTCTGACATCAGACTCGTAATAGACCAGTAAATCTTTTCCTTTCCACCAGTTGGGACCTGAGTCTTTTCTTGTTATCACTTCGGATCATCATAGGTTGATAACATATGTACTAAAATAAGTAAGTTTAGCAGTTGGTGTGATTTCTACTCGAGTGGTTAAGTACGTGGACACAAGTGGCCATGGCAATTTATGCAATGCGCTGGCCAAGCGCGAACAACGGCACACTGTGGAGAACGACGATGAAGGGGATACGAGAGGCTAGAAAGACCATTGGCGTGCGTCCACCGAGAGGGGTCATCCGCATGTGCCGCGAGATAACGCAGGTGCACACAAGCTTGCCGGTTGAGCACGGTCCTCGTAACGTTTGCGCCCTATCCACGGGCGCGCCGAACAGAGCCCACAGACGAATGTTCGAGTCCGCCGCCCAGCCCCAGTATGTTCTGGATTGACACACAAAACAGCCCCCCTGCCGCACCTGCCGCTTTCAAAACAAGCGGTGTGTGCGTGTATATGTAGGCGAGCGGCGCTCCAGACTTTCATAGTAAGATGATAGCTGAGCTGTGGTGAGCAAACGTACACGCCACGGCGCATATATGCGGAAACCGTGCCACTGCGGTGAATCAAGACCTTCGCGAACGAGTGTTTAGAACACCCGCGGAGGAAATGAGAGGCGGGAGATGGTTGTGATAGAATTAAGGGAGTGCGGCGGGTACACCAAACCCAGCCAACGCGCAGAGTACCGCTGTCTCATGCGTAATGGAGCGCTAGAGGCCCAGGGCTCGAGTCATTGTTGATGAGGCCAGCAAGCCTGATATAAGAGCACCTCCGAGAGGGCGACTGATGGCAGACGCAGAGACGATGGTGGGTAGGGGCCGGGGGGAACCCGGGATCGCAGTTCTACAGACAAGATGACAGCGCGGCCGCCATGAGAGTCACCCCCATCTCCCTCGACCCAACACCAAGACCGGGTGAACAAGGAGCGCACCACAGGCTCCGTGCTATACACAATAGACGAGAGATCCTTCCTTGCAATTTCCAGAGTCAGAGCCGCCGTGCATTTCTCCGGGGCTTGCAGTGCCAGAGTACATATGAGCGTCGTGTTCGGCTCCTGTTCAATGTTCTGAAAGTGGGCATGGAAGGTTTCAGGAGGAGGGCAGAGACGCGGGCACGATAGCGAAAGCGAAGAAATGAGCGGGAGGTAGAAACCAGAACTGGAGACCCGAAACTTGAAAGAACAGGAGGACGAACCGCAGTTACGCATTGTTGTGGCATTTTACGGAGCGTGGGAACACGGTTACAGAAGCGGCGGAAATTGACAACAGAATACTGAGCTGCCAGGCAAGCCGCAGAAGTTCAGAGCTTAGCAGTCTGAAGAGTTTTATGATGTATCGTGGAATTTGGATGCAACAAAACTTGAAAGTTTCAGGAAATAAATGACGATGCAAATCACAAAAAATGCTCTCTCTGTCTGGGAATCGAACCCAGCTTTCGCGCGTACAACACTTCGTGAAAATGACAAGCGCGTGTACTAACCGATATACTAACAAAGATTACGTACTTTCAGCAGTACTGAAGGTTGCAACTCCCAGTCGCCTCTAAGGTGTGTACTTACACGCCACGCCCGACCACCGAATCCCGACCAGACAGATAGGGGACCACCATGCGATGAAAAGAACGAGTTAAGCAGGTGTATGTAAGATAAGCAATGAAAATGAAAATAGGCACGCTGCCCGGCAGAGGGCGACGCACGTTCGACGTATCGATATGTATGTATATGCTACGAACAGGAAAAACCAACGCCAGGAGAAAGGGAATCAGCGGACGATGGCGATAGCAGGTGTCTAGAATCCAATCGCAAAGTAAAGGGGACATAAACTATATCTTGAGCACAACTTCTACTAAAAAAAAAGTGTAAAAAAGAGCAGGACGGACAAGTTCAGTGTCAAATGGTAGCGGGTAGGGGTGGCGGCAGGGAGCAGCAACGCGCGCGCGCGCCGTATTCCAAGTGAACTGCAAATATGTTTATATTCTGGAAATCCTAGTGGCCTCGTACCATCAGAGGACGTACGCGCCTTCGTTCTTCTTTTCCTCCCCTTCCCCACCTCGGCACCCGCACTAGACCTGCAGCCCCGTCGCCCCGCCGAGCCGCGTCGGGCTCGCCGCCCCGGGGCTCGCCGCGCGGCTCACGTTCGCGCTCGCGCGCCGGCTCTGCCCGTCGTAGTCGCTCCCCTCCGCGCGCAGCTCCGCGTGCCCCATCTTCGTCAGCTTCTCGTCGAAGTCGCGGTTGCGGTACCCGGACACGATGCGCTCGAGGAGCTCCGACGTCGACACGCCCGGCGTGCGCCGCGTGGGGATGAATTTGCCTGTGGGTGATGCGTGAGCGGTGCGTGACGGTGGGCCCCAGTGGGGCGACGCGTGGAAAGCGCATATATGCGCGAGAGAGGGGGTGGAACACCACCCCTGAGTACGAGATGGACGCGAAAGGGGGTGAGGTGGATATATGCGCGATTAAACGCGGAAGTGGACTTCCATCCGCCCGGAAAGGGGGAGCGGAATATATGCGCGGAGATGATGAAAAGCTGGGCCGGGGACACACCTTGACTTTTCACGTATCCGTAGACGTCGTCGTGGCCCGCACTCGCATATGCGTCCTCGTCGTGGGCAACATAGTCGATTTCGTATTTTGCGAGGAAGGCCTCATCGATGACCCATGGCGCTTCGGCGACGATCTCGTCGACCCACCGACAATGGCGGGCGGCTTCCAGCCTGTGGATTTGAGAGTTAAAACGTGTCCCTAATATACTCCGCTTCGCAAGCATTGAGTGAAACACTTCGATCCGACGGATTTCCAACCGAAGAAAGTATATAGAATGGATATATGCGTACCTTTCTGCGTGAATCATAACTGTGCGCGCCTTATGCGCCCACACCTGATCATCCGAGTTCACACCGACGAGGAGGTAGACGGAGGGGAACGAGAGCTTGGCCTGCCGGAGCTGCAGAGCGTGGCTACACAGAAATATCAGCACAGGAAACAACGCTGTGGTATCCACCGCTATGGCAGGCGCGTCAACAGCAGCGCATCACGGCGTCGACCACAGCATGGAGGAGAATATGCACACCCGAAATGGAAGAGATCGTAAACGCCTGTCATGTGATGTCAGAATGTGACGTAGGGTGCAAAAAAAGGCGATGGCGATGGGCAACGATGGCGGCGAGGGCGAGCATAGGGGCACGTACCGTCGGCGTATATGCGCACGGGGCGGTCGGTGGGCGGGGCGTTGATCGTGTACTTGCGGCCTGGCTCGCCCTCGATGGCCTTGGCCACGAACGTTTGTATGTCCTCCGGGGTGAGGGCGGCGGGGTTGAATGCGGTCTTGGAGGCGTGTGCGACGGCCGGCTCCTCGGTGACGAGCAGGGGGGTGGCGGCGGTGTTGATTGGGGGTGAGATGAAGACAGGGAGGTTGGACTCGGCGCGCGTGGGGCGCGCAGCGGGGTCGCTGCTGTCGGGGAGGGTGGTGCTCATGAGGACGGGTGTTGTCGGGGGCGAGAGCTCGATGTGGGCGGGCCTGCTGGGGGTGTCTGCGCCGGCGGTGGTGCTGGACTCGACGTCGCCGTCGTAGGTGGGGGAGTCGACGCTGTCGGAGTCGGAGGTGAGGTGCTGAGCGAGGTGGTGCCTGGGGCGGAGGACGGTGGGCTGCTTCCCGTGGGCCGCACGCGGGGCGCCCTGCGTGCTCCGTGTTATCGCGATCGCGCCCGCCGGCTGCCCATCGTCCGTCAGCGGGTCGTTATCCTCCTCTGATCTGCACATCCGATAAATACTCGTCACTCCGCGCTGCGCCCCACTCACGCGTCGTATGCCGGTGAATCCACCATCTTCGGGTACTTTCCAAACGATCGTTTGCTATGCAGCGTTCGCGTTCGCGCGGCGTCCACAGACATTGGTATAAGTAGGGATGGCAATTATTAGCCCAGAAAATAATCCCGCTCCTTCAGTCGTCACATCACGTCACGGCTTGGCGCCACGGTCCACCGCATCGCTCTGCAGCCTCTTTTGTTCCTCAGCTCTATAGTCGCACGGCTTGAGGGAAATGCAACCTGTCTCGTCTGCAAATCAACGTCTGCCTCCGCCTGACAGTAAAGTTATATCGATTGGAGACAAACGTTGAGAATCTCTTGAGAATCTCACGTTCACACGCATCGTCTTTGTTAGTATATCGGTTAGTACACGCGCTTGTCATGACATGGATACATTCATACGCGCGAAAGCTGGGTTCGATTCCCAGACAGAGAGATCATTTTTTTCCCCAGCATATTACATCTTCGTGGTTCAACAGCCGTAAGTCAGTTTCGCAATTTCAGCGTGCATTTAGCATTTAGCTACCGCAGTGCTCCAACGTGTCTCGACTCCCGCAATATTGAATCAACCAATGTGTATTTCAAACTAATATTTAGAACGTCCCTCCCGTCCGTTCACCGACCGCCACCTTCGTGTTTAGCTGCAGAAGATTCCGTAGCTCTGATACTCCACAGCGGACGTGAATATGCAATTGCCCGTCGTGTCCGTGTCCAGCCGCTGGATGGCGCCGCCTTCCTGGTTCTCGTCGGGATACAAGCTGACATGACAATTGCCATGGGCCTGCGTGACGACGATGGAAGCCAGCTTCGGGGAGAAGTTCCCCTTGCAGGACTGGCCGGAGGACAGGGTGCGGCTAATCGTGGTTCCCGACCCACACGCTGCGAAGTAAATAGATGAATTTAGTGAATATGTACGTCGTCACTGTGTCGAGAGGTTGCTGCGGAGTACCAGAGCTACGGGATCTTCTGCAGCTAGACACGTTGGCGGTCGGTGAAAGGATGGGAGAGCCGTTCTAAATATTAGTTTGAAATATACGATTGGTTGCTTGTGCGAGTCAAGACAAATTGAAGCGTCGACAGTCGGTGACTGGCTCCAGTCTCTGAAGGTACTCCGCGCACGGTGCGGGAAGCGTCGGCCCCAAGTCGGCCCGGCGGGAGTCCACGGAATGAACGCAACACGCTCACGAACATGGCATCTACCGCGAAGACGAGGGCGGTCTCCATCCACTGCGTCCGTACTGCGCGCTGAGGGCTGTACTAGAGCGCTTAGTGGTGGGTACCAGTACTCCCATGGCGCGGAGTTCCGCAGAGAATAGGTGGTCAGCGAGTGCGGGCTGAGAATGAGAGAAAAGGGGGCGCCTTCACGCGCAACGCTTGATTTTCCTCCTGTCTGCGTGCCACGCGAACGTGTCGCAGCCTGCACGGGTGCCGTCGTAGCCTCTCTGAATCACACCAAACGGCGACCGAACGGCGGCGGCGGTAGAGGTGGGCCAGCGACAGCGGCAGCGCATGATGTGGCCGTCCGAGTCGCTGTACGCACAAGCTTTATGCGGTGACGTCTCGAGCAGCGGCGCAGTCACCCACGAGGCGATGGAGAGTCCTGCGGGTGCCGCGGGTGCTGGGGAGGCGCGAAACTGCGCGCGGCCCTTGACGGACTGTGTCGTGGGGTGCGCGGAGGTCAGCTATCGTGCGGGTGGGCCCGGGCAACGGTGCCTTGTATGCATGGATTCTGGCGTGTCCAGCGATGCCCGGAGCCACTCGCGCTGCTGCATGGCGCTCCGCAAATCACCAAGGGTATTTCGCTGACGTTGTTCAACGTAACGTTATGTAAGTGGCTGTGCAGACCACTGACCCGGCGCCAATCATCGTACAATCATCTTATGCACGGCAAATTCTTCCGTTTCGCAGAATATGCCGTTGATATGCCGTGTCATTCATTAGTAGATCGGTACGGAGCTCTCCATTTCCTTTACACTTGTTTGCATATATTTCTCCAGAGATTACTGCCACCGTGATGTCTGCAGCATACTGTGTATCTGATAATGTTAATGCTTATACTTATTTTCCAGAAAACTGAAATCCACCGTTTTTGAATTCATCAAGCAAGCGACCGGAAAATGAATGACTATAAACTAATCATTGAGGCCTCTTTTTATCTCCCTCAGTGCTTCTTAGCTTCTGCTATCATCTGCTTTGCGTGGTCTCTGACGCCTGGTGGCATATGCCCACACTGATTGATAGAGATTATCAGTATTATCTAAAGGTTTTATTGAATGTGCTTACTTCTTCAGTCCGTAGTATCTCGTCGACACTGGATCCTACATCTAGCATATGTTTCTGGTACTTTAAAATATGTGCTTTGGATTCGGCACTAAACCCTGGATGAGGTTTCCCATTGAGAAGTGCATTCGTAACCCGACCTTTCTGAGTTCAATTATTAGTCATCAAAATTTCAAGTAGGCGAACCACAGTCCAAGCCTTACCTGACCATTAACGGTCCCGGGTATCATAACCAGATTGTTTTTCTGGTTAATCGCCTCTTTAACCTTTGCGAAGCACTTGGCTGCGTCAGCGCCAGGTACAGCAGCGGCACTAGACGAAGGCCATATATCAGAACATGTAGAACACTTTTGAATAAAGAGGATTTGGGGAATTGTAGTACATACGTTGTTAGATGATTGTTCATATGTTTGGTGACAGCCTGTAGTTCGAGAACGTGATCTTGTATATTAAGAAGCTTGTCAGTTTGCCCAAATATATTGTGCTTTATGGCAGTATTTACCTGCCTGTTGGGTTGCGAACTCTTTCTTTATCTTTTCTTTATCCTTCGCTGAATTACCATAGTGTGGTGCAGCATTTTGTATTGCGTCTTTTCGAGCATTACTCCCTCTGATCTGGTAGGTTCTAATAGGGCTTTGAAATGATGGCACCTTACTGCCACGACGACGACCTCTCTTTGATAGAGTTGAATATTGGGAATCGTCAAACAAGCTGCCGGGAACCGGGTGCGAGAGGGCGTGGATGTGGAAGATCACAAGGATAGAGAATATGTAGTACGACCAGCGCATTTTTGTCGGATAACGGGACGGGGATGGAATTCAGAGGCCGGCTCTGAGTGTTCTTGACTCCAGTTCAAGCGACTTATATATGCTGCTTGCTGCGGTATGAAACCACATGCTTGTCCGGAGCTCATAGCTATTGATAGTATTCACACAGAACCTAATACTAATAGCTTCGGAACTATACCCCCTCCGTCATAAAACACTTGTATTGCCACGAACTTCAAGGTTCTATCTAGGATTAATTGATATCTTTGACAAAGCGCGTTGGAAACGTAGTTGGATCAAAGATTGATGAAGAATTATAATATACTTATAATTATAGATATTGTGGGTCCTAAAGCTTACGTCCATACAGCGCTGAAGCGCTGAAGGTGAGTCTTACGTCTATAGCAACTTAGTCACCTCCGGTGACATCGTGTGGTCAAGCAGTAAAAATAATTCAGACCGGAAACAACAGAGCTCGCCGACGAAGGTGGTTGCGGGTTGGTCCAAATGATTCACCTGGAACAAAGGCAATTCAATGAAAGTCAGGGATCGTGCATGCGGCTTCGTGATTTGTATGCTTTCGCCAAGTCCTCCTTTTCGTCTCGATGGAGCAGGATATGCCACTGGAAGAGACGATCATCAAAGATGGACGTTTGAACTATGAACACTGCTTTCCGCCACCAAAAAAAGGTGTGCATTTGACGCAGGCGTGCACAGCATTGGACTTGGAGCTGTTGATGTTATCCAGAGCACAAGAGAATGTGTCAATTTTTGGGTAATCGGATTGGATACGGTTGGGCCAAATGCAAGTGCGTTGGAGACGGTTTTGCTTTTGGTTCTCAGTAAACGGAATACCTTTCTTTACCTACGTACTTATCAGAATTCTGTCTATTGAAACGTAACGATCTGATTTGGCAGGTGCTTGTCTATTATTAGAAATGCACAAAGAACAACACCGCCCCTGGCCCGTGACGTTGCCCACAACCACTGATACTGACGTTCATTTTGGTTCACGCTGGACGGACACCGCTCCCTTGATCATGTCGAAAGAGTGCCAATCTGAGGCAGCGCATCCTATCCTCACCCTGCCGCCTGAGATCCACCACCTCATTGCTTCCTGCCTGCCTATACAGACGCGACCGGCTACCCTCTTAGCATTGGCAGTCACCTCCACCAAATTATATGAAACTATACAGCCTTTATTATACGCTAATGTCATTGTCACGACCGAAGAGCATGCATACACGGTGCTAGGAAGGATATTGGAAGATCAATATATTGCGCAACTGGTCAGGAAGCTTCACATCTTGTCGAACTTGTCGGTGGCAGCACGTAAGGCGCACAATGAAACAAGGATGCTCACGAGGCTACATCAAGTCATCAAGGAGGACCGGTTACCCAATCTACACACACTTAGCCTTGCGTTTCTCTCTGGGTGGTATAGAGATGAAGCCTTGCGGGATCTAGACGGCTTTGGCCATCTACCGCTGGTGTTCTGGAAAGACCTGAGGCGCGGATGTCCTCTCTTACGGGAGTTATCTCTTCAAGGCATTGGAGACACCGACGAAGATCCGTGGATGGATGAATCTGGCCTGTACGAGTTGAAGAATATTTCGGTGCGCATTAGTTTTCCGGTGTCCGACATAGTCTAACCTACTCTACCCCATATAGCATTTGGCTTCTCTGAGGCTCGACTTTCGATCACAATCTCCCCCCGATGGACGCGCCAGCATCATACTCAAAAGTCTATCCAATGTCACCTCGACGCTGCACACCCTAGCTCTCTCCTTTGGAAACGCGCGTGAAGATGCCACACCCATACTATCTCTCACCTTCCCTCATCTAAAATCCTTGGAACTTTCATCTTTCGTTGTCCGCGACACAGAATGCGCAATGGAATTCTGGGCGCGGCACTCCGGCCTGGAGCGGATAATTTTCGACAGGGTAACAGGGAAATGGTTCTCTGATCCCGTCGCTCCCGGGCTCCTCCCTAACCTCATAAATCTCAAAGTTCGTATTTCCCACCTCGACTATGTGCGATGCAATTTTAACTGATTTGGCAGACCCACTACTCCGATGTGCGTGCTATGGCGAGTCATCTGCCCCAGCTCCAATTCCTCTCTGTCGGCGGCAGCATCAATGGTCAGGTTCCGTATCTCCTGCGATCGGTCATCCCAAATGGCCTGCCCAATTTAAAAAGCCTCGTCATTGGCCAGGTCCCTTACTCTGAGCGGGATATCAGGGAGATTGAAGGCGCAATGTGGTATGAGACCGAGGAGGGAGAATTTCGGCAGGAGAAAAAAATCAAAAACGCATATATGACGATGATGGATAACTACGTGCATTCCATCGTTCGAGGAGCGCCCAATATCGAAGAGCTCTGTCTACA